TTCTAGATCCTGCACATTATATTTCCTTTACACAGTGCTGATCTAGACCCTTGATCCCTCCTTTTTTTCTCTCCTGTCAACCAGACCCTCCTGTCTCAACCTAGAGAGGCAGTCTTTATGATATAGGGCTCATGTACTCAAGGCTTGGAGTCAGAGACCCAGCCTTAATTCTTTCTCTCCTTTATATATGCTGAGTACTTTATTAGTAATTTAGAATTAAGGATTTACTTAAAACTATTATCTATCATTTCATACATGCTAGGCAGTGTGCTTGGTGCTAAGTCTGTAATGTTGAGCAGAGCACAGGCCCGGCACTCACAGAGATTCCAATCTAGTAGGGAAGACAGATACTGAGTAATCATGTAAGTAAATAATTGTTGTGGTAAGTACTACGAGAGAAAGACATAGACGTTATAAGACCATATAAGAAGGGACCTGTCCTAGTCTTGAGTACTAGCATGGAAGGTTTTTGTTATGTTTAAGAAATCAGAATTTGAAAGGTGAGGAAAAAGTTACCTAGTAGAGGGTAGTGGGAAAGAATATTCCAGGCAGATGGAATATTGGCAAAGGTCTTGAGTCAAAACAGATAGCTTGACCCTTTCAAGGAACCAATAGAAAACCTGTGGAGTGGAAAAGTGAAATCAAAAGGACTGTTGTAAGAAAAAAAAAAGTTCAAGAGTTAAGTCAGAACAAAATTGTGCAGAGGAAAATTGGTAGGATTTCGTAATAGATTAGATATGGACGGTGAGCAAGAGGGCAGTATCAAAAATTACTTCAGTTTCTAGCTTATGTGCCTATATGGGAGTGCCAGTGATGCCATTCACTGCAGGAGGACCACGTGTTGGTGGAGATGATCTTGGAAATGTTATGGTACTTTTGAAGCAGTCAGTATGTATTTTGTTTTATCAAGCTATGAAGGAAGAATCACCCCCCCCCAAAAAAAAAATAGTTTTACATTTGCATCTCTTATATTATCTCAATCTTGTAATTATAATTTAGGAATCTCTTTGATCCTTATCTGCCTGATAATCATTCTGATCCTGTTTCTTTGGCAAAAGATTTAGGTTGGTAAGTTTAAGATCATGATGAATGTATTATATGTTACTCTTGCTGTATTTAAAAATCCACATTGAATGTTTATTTTTACAAAAATACAATTCAGAACCTGAAATGGATAAGTATTGATGTTTACTGGTCCTTATCCCTTCTCTCACTTTATACTATCTCCCTAGATGACCTACTTTTCTTTCTTTTTTTCAGGGCCTTCCGGTAAAAGCCGGAAGACCTGCTGGACAAGTTCAAAAAGAGCTGTAAGCACTCATACTTACTCTTCCTATCCTCAGTTGTCTTCTTATACTAATAGCTCCCAGACATACATTCCAAGTCCAGACCTGCCATCTCGTCACCAGATTTGGGTATCCTTATTTAGATAAATGTCTCTGACAGGCATATCAATTCAATATGCCCAAACTCCAACTCTTGATCCCTCTTGCACCAATCACCAGAGAAGAGCACTACTGACTATTTTATAAGCCTCAAGAGCCTGGGGAGTCTTTCTCACCCTCACTTCCCACACAATATTCAATCCATCTATTTAACCTTTGAAATCTCAACTCTCTCTTTGTACACTACCACTGTCCTAGTTCAAGTTATCTTTTCTTCTTGGACTACTGTAATGGCCTTTTAACTGGACTTCCCCCATTCATTGAAACTTCTCTTAATTCTTATTTTATAAATAAAGGCCCGATGTACAAAATTCATGCAAGGGGCTTGGCCTTCTCAGCCCCTTGCAGCCTCGGCCGGCCCTCGCAGCCCTGGCTTTGTCCAGACAGTTGTCCAGACAGTCGTTCTGCTGTTCAGTCTAATTAGCATATTAGCTCTTTATTATATAAGATATATTCAGAATAAGTTTTGAAATATAGATCTCATCTTGCCATTCTTAAAATCCTCTAATAACGTTTTAAATTTATAGACTAAAGACCCAAATCCTTAACGTTGCCCATAGTGCTTTGTGAATTAATATTTTTTTCCTTTTTTAAAAATTAAATATATTGGGGTGACATTGGTTCACAAAAACATACAGGTTTCAAGTGTACAAATCAATATAACATCATCTGCACACTGCATTGTACTCCCACTGTCCAAGCAAAGTCTCTTTCTGTCCCCATTTTCCCCCCTTTGCCCACCTTCACCTATCTCCCACTCCCCTTTCCCTCTGGCCATCACCACACTGTTGTTGATGTCTATGTGTTTGCTTAATCTCTTCATCTTCTTTCATCCAGTCCCCAAATCCCCTCTCCCTTCTGACAGCTGTCAGTCTGTTCCATGTATCCATGCCTCTGAATCTATATGGTATTTGTCTCTCTCTGACTGGCTTATTTCACTTAGCGTAATATTTCCAGGTCCATCCATGCTATTGCAAAAGTTAAGATTGCCTTTTTTTTTTAGAATAGAATAATAGTAATATTCTATTATGTAAATGTACCACAGTTTTTTTTATCCTCTCATCTACTGATGGACACTTTTGCTGTTACCAGATTTTGGCCTTTGTAAATCTTCAATGAACATAGATGTGCGTATATTCTTTTGAATTACTGTTTTGGTTCTTTGGATATATTCCCAGAAGTGGGGTCACGGGGTCAAAAGGCAGTTATATTTTAATTTTTTGAGGAAACTCCATACTGTTTTCCACAGTGGCTGCACCAATCTACATTCTCACCAACAGTGCACAAGTGTTCCCTTTTCTCCATATCCCCTCCTGCACTTATTGTATTTTGGAACTTAACCCCTTATTAGATCTATCATTGGCAAATATGTTCCCTTTTTTTTTATTGATGGTTTCTTTTGCTATGCAGAAGCTTTTTAGTTTCATGCAGTCCCATTTATTTATTTTTTCCTTTGCTTCCCTTGCCTAAGGAAATATATCTACAAAAATATTGCTATGAGAAATGTCTGAAATTTTAACTGTCTCTGTTTCCTTCTACGATTTTTATGGTTTAGCGACTTAAGTCTTTAAAACTACATATATATATTTTTTAAAGTATATACATATATATTTTTTAAAAGTATAATTCTCGAATCAGATTGCCTGATTCAAATCATAGTTCCATCAATTACTAGCTTTGGGATCTTGAACAAGTTACCTAATGTTCTTTCAGTTTCCTCATCTGAAAAATGGGGATAATATCAAACTCAGGGTTATCATGAGGAGTACAGTAGGTCCTTGGATTATGTCAGAGATCCGTCCCTACGGCGCGACGTAACGCGATTTTCGCTGTAAGTTGGAACCCACCTATATAAGCACTTATGTCGCTCACATGCAGCACATACACAGCAGTAAGGAAGTGAAACAGTAAAAAAAATTTAAAGAAAGATAACAATTCCTGACCTTTACTTGTGGTAAATAAATAATAAAAAACATAAAGCACATATATAAATATGTCGAAATGATGGAACTTTTTTTTATAAATAAATGGGAGATGGCAGTGTAACCAATACGTTGAGTCCGATCTAACCCAAGGACTGTCTGCAAATCTGTTAATTCCCCATCTCAGTTAATATTTTGCTTGACACATAGTAAAAACTCAATTTATAATAATAAAAGTCTAATATGCTAATTAGACCAGACATCCTTCTGGACACCTTCCAGACAAAGCTGGGGCTGTGAGGGAATCCGGGGTCCCAGGTGCCTGCCGACCGCTGGAGGGTAGCCTGGGTCTCAGGTGCCTGCCAGCAGCCAAAGGAAAGCCTGTGTCCCAGGTGCCTGCCAGTGGTTGGAGGAAGCCCGGGTCCTGGCAGCCGGGGGAAGGAAGCCCTACTCTTGCATGAATTTCGTGCATTGGGCCTCTAGTAAATAAATGTTAGCTATTATAATTATCTCCTCTAATTTATTCCCTTTAGACATCAAAATTACCCTCATGAGTAAATCCCTGTTAGTTTAGACTAGCATTTATCTCTTTTTGACACCACTCTTATCTCTTATCCCCTTTTCTCTAACAACAAAAACCCTAATATTTTGTCTTTACCACATGTGCTTGTTGTGTTCACTTGCTCTCATTTTAGTTGCCTCCCTCTCAGTCTTTTCTGGCTACCCTGTGTATTTATGATATTGGGCATTGTCTTTTTATTTTAAATAATGGTGAGACTCCCCTCCTCCATGTTCCCTCCACCCCACTTTGCTGAAATGTTTCAGCTGGAAGAAACTTTATGGATTATCTAGCCCGTTAGTTCAGTGCCCTAGTTGTTTAAAGTGGAAGGTTAGGGCCTGAGACTTCAACTCCTCCTGATGATGGACAATTTTTTGTAAATCTTGAAAGACATTTTACTTCTTGACAGAGTATAATGTTAAATGGAGTATTAAATTTTGGCATTTGGGAGATATCAGGAGAGTCTTATGTATATAACGGAGAAATGAATCTTGAATTATAGGGAATACAGGTGCGTTTTTTTTTATGTCATCAGTTGTTTTTTTATTATTATAGGTACATTTTGATGGGAAATATGAGGAAAGTTCACTTAAAGTCTTTTTTCTTTGCTATGTTCATGCCTGTTTTGGTATGCTAACCTCTTCTCTTACCCTCATGCATCTCTTTTTAAAAAATTTCTACATCTTAAAATGTTGCTCAAATTCATCCCTCCTTTGACTATTCCTACTCAGTACCATAGTTGAAGTTCTCATTACAATTCTTCTTGACCATTGCAGTGACTTCCTGTTTTGCCTTCCTTCATTATTGCCATACCACACTCTCCTTACCTATGCTAAACCTTCTGCCAGAGTGATCTTCCCTAACACAGAGACATATGCACATCATTTCTTGACTCAGAACTCTCTAATGCAGTGGTTCTCAACCTTCTGGCCCTTTAAATACAGTTCCTCATCTTGTGACCCAACCATAAAATTATTTTCGTTGCTACTTCATAACTGTAATGTTGCTACTGTTATGAATCGTAATATAAATGTCTGATATGCAGGATGGTCTTAGGCGATGCCTGTGAAAGGGTCGTTCGACCGCCAAAGGGGTCGCAACCCACAGGTTGAGAACCGCTGCTCTAGTGGCTTAGCCAATCCCACTAGCTTCCTATCTCTACCACAGTCCATCCCTCAGAACCTCTCTCTGTTCATCCACACCATGCATGCACAAAATAGGACCCTTCAGTCTTAGGGACTTCTTCACAGGTAGAATTCCACAGGCTGGTGAGTTCCTATCATGTAAAGAAACTTAGATATAACTGAATGAATTCTTTTTCACAGTCTTAGGTGTTTGGCCTAATTCTGTACCTCTACAGATAGGTCCTGGTCAGATTCACATGCTTGCTGCATTGGGGTGGTGTTCTCTGAGTATGTGACTTCAGTACACGTTATTTATGGAGATAAAGGAATTTCCTATAATAGGAAGTTCCTATTTTTTTTTATTCCCTTCCTCTGGAATCTTCTTGGTCTAATTAGTCCCCTTTTAACATTCCACGAGCTATGTTACTGAATTTGTCACTTTTGAGAAAGTTTAATACAGATACTTTTGATTTGGCATCTGGAGAAAATATTCATGCCAAGAGATCATGAAGATCTTTATTCTCCACCAATGTCATGCTCCCACCATTAAACTATAGGAGTCCTGCAAACAAGTGATTGCTAACTACAGCAGTGCGGGGCATACTGACTGTAGTAATAAATGGTAGTGTAAGGGACGGAATGAGTAATTATGTTTGGGTTGATCAGAAGGCACTTCTTAGCATAGGGTTTGCTTGAGCTGGCCATTAAAAAAGTGGATGGGAATTCTGCAGATCAAAAAGGTAGGAAAGGACATTCCAGCCACAAGGAATAGCATGACTGGGGTTTGGTGTAGCCAAAGCATGGAATCTGTAGAACTGTGTTCAGTAAATGAAACTAAAGGAGCCAGTTTTGAAGATTTAAGTGCCAGGCTTTCATTTTGTAGAAGCAATTGGAGGCCACAGAAAAGTATTTATCAGTGGGTTTTGGATGCTAGTGCTGTGAAGGACAAAGAGGAGAGGAACAAGACTGAAAACCTTTGAGTGACTGCCAAACGATCAAGTACAACAGGCCTAATCTGAGCATAGTGTTGGGGATGGAGGAAGAGGAAGCATAAGTAACATATTCTGGAGTAGAGTCAATAGGAACTTAGTGACTGGGTGTGGGGAATGAGGCAAAAGTGAGAAGAAGAAACAAAGGAGTTTCTGGTTCTAGTTATAGGACACTGGAGTAGTATAGAAGTGCCATAGAAAGTGCAGTAATAGGGTCATTGAGAGGGAAATAATGATGACATAGCTTTTGAACATAAATGTGAGTCAGTTA